TATATTGTTGTTGTTATGTGCCATCTAGTCAGTTCCAACTCACAGTGACCCTGTATAGGGTTTCCAAACATAGTTATATGCCTACTATTAATATAGATAATTAATATATATATTTATATATACACTCATATATAATGAAGTCCTGGTGTCACACTGTGGTATAAAGCAATGGACCACAAGTTCAGTTTGAACCACTAGTTTGGGGGTTTAAAATTACCAGCCACTCTTTGGAAACCCTATACAGTGGCTATGAGTCAGAACTGACTTGACAGCACTTAGTAACAACAATATATATAATAATATATATAAACATACATTATAAAATACCTACAATGTGGATTTCAACTGCTGACCTTGTGGTTAGCAGTCAATGCTTATCCTTAGTACCATACATTACGTCACAGTACATTAAGTAACTTGTTGAAGACGTCACAGTTAAAAGGTAGTGACACTGGTTTTTGACTCCAGGAATTTTGACTGCAGACCCTAAGCATAAGAGAATTTATTTCAACGTTTGAAATGGGGCTTAACATGATCTCCTAATCCTAACAATGATTTGTTGTTGTTAAGTGCCATTGAGTTGATTCTGACCCATAGTGACCCTGTATAGGGTTTCCAAGGAGCAGCTGGTGAGCCTGAACCACCGACCTTGCAGTTCAAGCGACTTTGTAGTCTGATGCATTAGCCCACAGGCCACACCAGGATAGGATCCAGAAAATTAACATTTCATCTGAAAACAAATGTCATCTTTATAAATCAAGCACATTATGGCATAATGGTAAAATAATAAATTGGCTTCTATAAAATTAATTTTATCTTTACTTTTAGGTTGCCATTTGTTCCATTTCTGTTACTTCATTCACACTGTTACAGAACATTTTCAATCTTGTTTCAAATATGATATTTTTATATTTTAGCTTACTTTTCAAATAATTTATCAGTCTGTGGGCAGAGAAAAATGATAACTTTTAGCTTCTACCTTACTATTTGCAACCCCTCTCAGTAACTCATCAAAATAATTCCCTAATTTTAAAATCTCAGATTCTACTGAAACTCATCAATCCTCAGAAACCCTATACAGGGTTGCTATAAGTAGGAACTGACTCAACAGCACTTAACAACCACCACCCATTCCATCAACTTTTCAATTCTGTTTTCCAGTAACATTCAATTCCTAAAACATGAAACTCAAACTTTTTTTTTCCTACATGGATCACCATGGCCTCCTCCACTTAACAAAGAATCACATGAATTTGTCTTATAGTTTGTAGTCATGTACTATAAGGATTATATATATATATTTCTCATCTCACCCTACCCCACCCCTACACCTTCTCCATCCAATCTTTTCTTTGGCTTTTCACTGGCTAGTGCTTCCGAGCTGGCCTGCCTTGACTCATGTAGCTCCTCCTCCTATATATACTGGGTAAAAACTTTTATCATCATTTTAAAGAATGTCAGCACTCTTTCTGTGAAGAACAGAACAAGAAGAAATCCACTTGACTCTAATACTTTCAAGATTCCTAAGAGTCCAGAATTAATTTTTCACCTTTCTATAAGTATTTATCTCCAGGGACATCCAGACAAAAGGTAAGGTACAACTATACTTTTAATAATTTGCTTGTATTTTATCAATCTAATCTTCTAAACAGATTTACTTTGACCACACCACAAGTATTCAAACACATTTATTTAAAACCAAGAAGTTTCTTAAGTTTAATTTCAGAGGAAAAAAAGCAATTGCTTTATTGTTTTTTCACAACTACATTTTAAAATCAACTTCTAAGGTAACTTCTGAAATAACTCACTGCTTATTTCTTTTCTTGGGAATTAGAGAGTTATTATATTCACATATAAACATTACATACTAAATTATGTTTCTCTTTGAACAGTACAAATTTATATATTGTTATGAGACTATTCTTACTTCGTGTAGTATTTTAGAGCTGAATCATTTCCTTTTTATCAAAAAGGGTGACTAGCACTTAAGAACAAGGCAAAAAGAATTTCCCTTTAAATATTTAAACTACTCACTCTAAAAATAATCTATTCAAGAATGATTTATACCCCACCTAATCCTTTAAACTGAGAAACAAGACTAGCAATTTAAACAAATTATTAATGCTTTCATTTCTTTTTAAAGAAAATTACCATGATTTTAATGAAATATTATTGCATGGATGAGAACTATTGTGTAAACTTGGTTTTGATTTCACTGATTTAGAATCTTTAGAGTTTATATGCTAGATTCAGATATTATGTTTGTTTTTTGTTTTTTTAATTTTCAAAGCCTTACCAGCACTCACCTTAAAACAGGGTCATTCATAAATACACTTAATTACTAGTAACGGTAAGAAACAAATTCCTCACATTAATTATGTTCATTTCAAATAGCTAAGGATTTATCATTTCAGAGTTGATCTTTAGAAATATTACAAAATAGTTATGTTGTTTTAAAAGACTTCAACAAGTACGTATCAGGTTTACTTTATATCAATACTTCTTTTAGCTAAAAGTGTAGCCCCATCAACTTTATAATGATGGCAAAAAATGTAATTCTTTGCATCTCCAAAATTGAAAGGTTTATCATTATGTTACCTTAAAAAATGAGAGTAGCCTAAATAAGGATATTATCATTTATACCAACCACTTAACTAAGAAAAGAATTAATCATGGTAAATGCCTAGATTTTGTAACAATTCAGAATGTCAAATACTGTATCCGGACATGAAAGCTAAGACTGCAGTTATAGGATTTTTTTGTGTCTAATTTTCTCTATAAAAATGGGTTTTAGTTGTCACTCTTATATTTTAAAAAGTTAATTGAGCAGAAATAAGTACTGCAAGTTAAAGGTGTCTAAGACAGCACTGTCCAACAGAATTTTCTGTGATGACGAAAAGGTACTATATCTGCATTATCTAATCTGGTAGCCATTAGTCACACGTGACTATTCAGTATTTGAAATGTGGCTATAGTGACCAAGGAATTGATTTTGTAGGGTAAGTACTGGACTGCTAACCACAGGGTGGGTGGTTCAAACTCACCAGCCACTCCTTGAAAACCCTGTACAGGGTTGCTATGAGTTGGAATTATGTCAATTTATATAGTAGTGCTGTGGGTTAATGCGCTGGACTGCAAAGTCACTTTGAACTGCAAGGTCGGTGGTTCAAGCTCATCAGTTGCTACTTGGAAACCATATATACAGGGTTGATATGGGTTGGAACTGACTCAACAACACTTAACAACAACAACAATATATAGGCAGTGACTACATGTCTCAAGTTTTGATATTTTTTTCATTTATAAATACTTTGTGTTTCTGTTGTTAAGTGCTGTGGAGTTGGTTCCAACTCATAGGGTTTCTAAGGAGTGGTTGATGAGTTTTAACCACTGACCTTGTGGTTAGCAGTCTAGTGTATATCCTACAGTGCCACACCAGGAATTTGGATATGGGGGAAAAAATGGCTTCTTCAACCACAACAATAAGGAAAAATGAGAACAGCAGAGAATAATAGGAATGATTATTGTTCTAATATGAACCTTATCTCTGCCATCTTAAAAACCTGAGTCTTGTTGTACATATGGAACATAGGTCATTCCTTAAGTCTATATAATTTCAGTAAAACAGCAATGATAAATACTGTCCTAAAAGGGCAACTGGTCATGGTGGTGTGCTGTGGAGTCATTTCCAACTTACAGTGGCCCTGCATAGGGTTTCTGAAGCTGTAAATCTTTATGGAAGCAGAAAGTCTCATCTTTTTCCCACAGAATAAAAAGTCAATTAAGCATTATTTAAGTTATGTGTGTGTGTGTGTACGTATTAGTTTTATCAGTACCTGATCTATTAGTTTCAATCAATGCAAAACTGAGCTGCACTTAGTTTCCTGTCCTTGATGTTTATGGAATTCTCTGGTTATAGTGTGATAATGAACTGTGAAAGACAATGTTTCTTTTCTTTCAACTAAATAATTTTTACTAAAACATAGGTAAATACATTTATAAAGGCTATTAAAGCCAAAATGTGGGAAAGCAGAAAACTTACATTAAGGAATTTAGATTTTATCAGTAGATAATGAAGGTTTCTGGAAAAAAAAAAGGAAAAGTAGTTGATATCTCTTAAGAATGTAATTACTATGTGTTGGGCTTTGTTTAGAAGCCTTGGTGGTGTAACCATTAAGTGTTTTAATATATACATATATAAAAAAAGTCAAAAAAGTAAATCATTTATATGTTTACAAGCAAAAATAAGTAAACATTATGGTATAAGGATGCTACAAGAATTCCATAGTTACATCTTTCTTTAAATTGTTTAGGAAAAGTTTATGGCAAGAAAAAAACTTGAAGTGCTATAAAGAATCAGAGACGATTCAAAAAGGATGTTCCAAGAAAAATATGAAACCTGAAAAGATAATCCAAGGTTTATGTTTAGCTGATAAATGATACATTCCTGAGAAGAAAGTGGATTCATTTTAGCAGTAAGAAAAGGAGAAAATAACATCACTGAGGACTTTAGAAACTACATCATTGAGGACTTTAGAAACTAATTCTATTCTTATGTCCAGGTCTTTAGATGACTCTTTCAAATATACATATTAGAAAATCAAAAGGATTTTTAAACCTGGTTGTTTTGAAGTCTCTCAGAGCAGTTGAGATGTATTCAGATAAATGTTTTTCCATGAGTGCTACTCTGATCCAGGCTCTGCCCTAAAAAGAAGAAAGAATCAAATATTGGGAGAAGAATAAAACGGAAGTTAAAATATTGTTCCCACTGTGCTATTTAAAACCAGACATTTTAACATGCAAACAAATAAATCAATAAAAAATATATCTGATAAGAAAATATTTAAGAAGATAATCCTAGGTAAATATCAATTATATACAGTGTATCTTTTGTTTCTCTGAAGGCGCTGGGTACAGCATGTCAGAAGTATGTTCTGTCCTCTGAAGATAAAGAACCATTAATTTTAGATTACTTGAGTTGGAGACCTCTTTTGAATCATATTATATGGAGTCTAAAATCAAATGATAATTAAAATGAGTCCTATAATATTAATAAAAATAATCACGCTAATATCACTTAAGAGAATTTCCCATAGTATCCTTTCAGAGGAGGTTTTACATAACAAGGAATCCCAAAAGTCATGATTTGTTATGTACCCAAATCATGAATTAGTGAATTTGTTACCCATAGGCAACTCTAAAAGATGTTACCAAATATTCAAGGCAAAACAAAAAACAAAACAAGTCAGTATATTCTAGCACAAAATCATAAAGAGACAATTTCTATTCAATGAAAATAATTTAATTCTACTGGAATGAGATAATATCATTCAATTCTTGTTGTTTTGTTGTTAAGTGCCATCGAGATGATTCTCACTCATAGCGACCCTGTACAGGATCTCCAAGGAGCAGCTGGTGGGTTTGAACCACCAATCTTGTGGTTTGCAGTTCAGTGCTTATTCTACAGTGTCACACCAACAGGATTACTTAGACATTTAAAAAAATAATTCAAAGCATTCATCTAGAATTTTTATTTAGAATGAAAAATTACAAATGATCATATTTGTAGTAAGAATTCTAATTCAATTTTATTTTCATGCAAACCCTTTCACAAATCTCCAGAAAATCCATGAAGATTGAATGTATAGAAGTTGGAAACACTGCAATGGTAGATGAGAATTACAGTGACAATAATTAACACATAGGCGTCCTGGTATGGTGCTATAGGATAAGCACTAGACTGCTAATCTCAAGGTTGCTAGCTCAAACACACTAGCAGCTCCTCAGAAACCTGCAATAGAAGCTCTATAAGTCAGGAACAACTCCATGGTACTTAACAATCAATATATAAGGAACCTTGGTGGTGCAATGAGTTATGGGTAGCGTTGTTCATCCAAAAGGTAGGTAATTCAAACCCATTAGCCCCTGCAAGAGAAAGAGATGAGTCTATCTGCACTTGTAAACTATTTTATATTTATGGAAACCCATTAGCCCCTCCTCCAGAAAGAGATGACACTATGTGCACTTGTAAACATTTATAGTTATGGAAACCCTATGGAGCAGTTCTACTCTGCTCTATAGGGTCATTATGAGTCAGCAAACCAAAGCCATTGCCATGAATCCTGACTCATAGCTACCCCATACAGGGGTTCCGAGACTATAAATCTCTACAGGAGCAGACAGCCTTACCTTCTGCCACGCAAAGGCTGGTACTTTTAACCATCAACATTACGGTCAGCAGTCAATGCCTAAACAAATCAATATATATGACAGACAACTACAAGTAAAGAAAAAAGTATTCTTTACAAGTCTACAACTACACTTAATTTACTAAACTCCTGGATCCATATCAAACTCACTGCTATAAAGTTGATTCCTACTCATAGCATCCTACATAGAGTTTCTGACACTGTAAATCTTTAGGGAGCAGAAAGCCTCATCTTTCTCCTGCTTAGTAGCTGGTGGGTTTGAACTGCCAACCTTGCAGTTAGCAGTCCACTCCTTATCCTATAGCACCACTAGGGCTCCCAACTATTAGACTGTGGTTGTTGTTGTTAAGAGTCATTGAGTCGGTTCCAACTCCTAGTAGAGGGTTTCTGAGGAGCAGTTTATGTGTTTGAACAACAGACACTGGTTAACAGTCCAGTGTTTATCCAACAGCACCACACCAGGACTCCCAAGTCATGGATGGAAGGGGTCAATCTATGCAGATGCAAACATCTGTCGGACTATAAGCAAAAGTCCTGCTTGGGAAGCAAAAGAATTACTTGGGTTTAGTTAGCATGTCATGGATTCCTGATACAGTGCTGTAGGATAAGCACTCGTCTACAATGATGGTTTGAACCACAAGGTCCGCAGTTTAAAATCACCTAGCCGCTCCTCAGAAACTTTATACAGGGTCGCTATCAGTCAGAACCAACTCAATGGTATTTAACAACAACAGTTAATAAGTCAGTCAATTTGCCTGCCAATCTAAACTTCCCATTGTAGCTTGACCTGTGCTTAGTCTACTGTTGCTGCAAAAGGAGAAAGAAAGCTTAGGAGAACCTACAATTAGCTGACTAGAACAGAGGAGGGAAGAGGCAGGCAACATCTTAAAATTCTTTCTTGAAATTTCATCTGAAAGATATAGTGACTAGTAAGCTGACAGCAGGTGCTTGAATCAAAGGCCACATATTCACTGCTGCAGAAACATAGAAAGTTGCTCTACAGAGTAAGTTGTACACAGGAGACTGTGCTGTTGCTAGATAAGAAATGCAGGGAAAGTCCTGCTTCCTGATTCATTAGTTTCAATCCATGCACAACTGCGCTGCACTTAGGTTCCTGTCCTTGATGTTTAAGGAATTCTCTTATATTGTGATAATGAATTGTGCTAATTTTATAACAGGTTTCTTTTCTTTCAGCTAAGTAACTTTTACTAAAACCATAGATAAACAGTTTTATAAAGGCTACTAAAACCACAATGTGGAAAAGTTGAAAACTTACATTAAGGAATTTAGATTTTTATCAGTAGATAATGGAGGCTTCTAAAAAAAACAAAACAAAAAGAAAATGCTATCAACAGTTCTTAAGAATGTAATTAATATTAAATACATTCTTAAGAATGTAATTAATAGTCTTGGTAGTGCAACAGTTAAGTGCTTGGCTGCTAACTCAAAGGTCAACGATTTGAACCCACCAGTGGATCTTCAGGAAAAAAGAGTTGGCAATCTGCTCCTATAAAGATTACAGTCAAGGAAACCCTATGGGACAGTTGTACTCTATCCTATGTTGTTGTTGATAGGGTTTTCAAGGAGCAGCTGGTCAATTTGAACCACCAACCTCGCCATTCAAACAGACCTTGCAGTCCAGTGCATTATCCCACTGCGCCACACCAGGACTCCTGCACATACCAGGACTCCACTATCCTTCAGGGTCACTAAAAATCAAAAGACTACAAGGCATACACTAACAAGTCCTGTTTTTAAGAACTTTAGAGTTTGGGAAAGAGGCTCAACTACTGGGTTAATGCACTGGACTGCAAAGTTGCTTTGAACCACAAGGTCGGCGGTTCAAGCTCACCAGCTGTTCCTCAGAAAGTTTTTACAGGGTTGCTAAGGGTGGGAACTGACTCAGTGGCACTCAACAACAATAACCCTATTTGAGGGTAGTGAGTTACATGCTGGGTTGCTAACTGGAAAGTCAGCAGTTTGAGTTCAGCATGCACTCCGTAGAAGAAAAATAAGGCTTTCTGCTCCCATAAAGATTTACATCCTTGGAAATCCTATACAAGGTCAGAAATAACTCCATGAATTGGAAATGACTCCATGGAACACCACCACCACCACTCATAAATTAAGCAAAGAAAGGGAATGATCTGCATTTCATGATTTTGTCCTAGAAAGACAAACCATTAGATCTTCCATAGTGAGTGGCAAGTTTATAAAAAAAAAGGAATTTAAGGGATTTAGCAGTACTAGGTATGGCACTAGGTAGAATAAGCACTGGACTGCTAACCACAAGGTTGATATTTTTCAAACCCACCAGCTGTTCCTAGGAAAACCTATACAGGGTCACTATGAGTTGGACCCGACTAATTGACAGTTAACAACAAAGTGGTACTAGGACACAGACAATCTTGACTAAATCAGCTCAACTAAAGAATTTAAAGAATATGTCTATACTGAATTAGTCATCGCTACACAGTGCATACAAGGAGCTCTGGTAGCGTAGTGGTTATGAATCAGGCTGCGAACCTTAAGGTCAGCAGTTCGAAACTACCAGCCGCTCCACGGGAGAAAGATGAGGCTTTCTACTCCCATAAAGATTTACACCCTCGGAAACCCTGTACAGGGTCGCTATGGGTCGGACCCGACTCGACGGCACTTAACAACAACAACAACACAGTGCATACATGTCTTCCATTGCTTAAAATGCCATGGTTGTACCTTAAAATGTAATCAGAGAACCTATCCCCTTACACAGGTTTAAAAATGAAGATCCGTTTTGACACCAACTGAACTGAGTTGTACATTATTTACCAGGTATGTTTGGTACTTCTGTTTTGATACATGATACACGTAAGGACTAGCTAAAAGTGCTATATATGCTAATAGTCCCTCAAGATACAGCTCTATGGCTCAATAAACTTTTATTTTAAGAATTTATGTTTAATCCCTCAATCCTGATGCTTGGTATGTGTGGTCACTGAGCAGATTAAGTATCTTACTCTTTCCACTGAAATAAATAAAGATAGAGTTGATCTTTTCCTAACGACATTTCCTAGCATGACAAGGGAAGTAAGTCTTAGATATCTCTTTCACCACTGAATGGAATTTGTTTGATGCTTGAACAAAATAAATGCAGGACTTAGATTATGATTGTTCTATGGTATTTTAATACTCAACCATGGTTCTTTTCAGAGTAAACATTAACTCTCTGCTGGGCATCATCTTGTTATGCAGGGACTAGTCTCAGAAGGCTCATTAAAAGAGGTGGTCAGTTAGAGTTCTGGGTTTCTTGGACCCACCCAGGCCCAAATGCTACATTCCTATTATTTCTTCTCAATCACCTATTTTTATTTTGAGGAATGATAATTCCATAAATGTATTATATCATTTATTAAGCATTTATAATACTGTTTGTAATGTTAGTTTTGCTAACTTTTTATTCAAAAACGAAATAAATAAATAAATAAATAAGTACCACCTGGGGTACTTTCTATTTTTCTAGACTTGATTCACTCAAACTACAGCAAGTCTTTGAATCTTAACCAAAATAAAATGTTTCTATTCCTTGAAGTGTTCTTTAAAGCAACAATCCAAAACAAACCCACTGCTATCAAGTAGCAGATAGCCTCAACTTTCTTCTGTGGAGCAGCTCATAGCCCAAACACCTAACCTATAGCACCACCAGCAATAGTTCAACTAGTACAGAAAGTCTGCCTTGAAGGAGCCTTGGTTACAGAATCGGTTAAGTCTTAGACTATTAACCACAAAGTCGGCAGTACAAACCTACCTGCCCTTCTACAGGAAAAAGATACAGCTGTTTACTCCCATTAATATTTAGTCTAGGAAACATGAAGTAACAGCTCTGCTCTGACCTGCAGGTTGATACGAATCAGAATAGACTCAATGACAGTAGGCTTTTTTCTTTTCTTGGTTTTGGTCTGCCTTGAGCATAGAGTTCTTTTAAAAAACTATATATGATAAAGCTGACAACAGCAACTGAAAAGAGTATATAGAAAACTTAAGGGGCAGTGAATTTATGTTAATGGGGAAGGAAAAGTTAGGAAGAAGAGGGTGAGAAGGGTTACACTACTGAAAGAATGTAATCAGTGTCACTGAAGTTAACATGTAGAATTTGTTGAACTGTGTATGTTTTGCTTTGTATACTCTTAGTAACAATAATTTTTTAAAAATCTTAGTAAGTAGTAATTTCTTAAAGGTTAGTTGGATCTCTAGTCATATCAAATAATGTTTTAGATTATATTAAATGCTTTGGTCTGCCTTGCTTTGAATGGATCTTTTACCTGAGCATGGTTCTGGAATTTTATGCATTGATAACTGGAAAATATTTTTTCATTGAGTTATGCAAGTCTACCAAATGCTGACTCATTTCATTAAAAAAAAAACAAAAACAAAAACAAAGAAAATACATTTGCTAGTATTAACACCATCATTATAAAAAATTATTAAATATTGGAAAGTTTATCAAATTTATGGTGATGGACATGTTTCCTAAAATTCTATTTTTCACTTGAAAGTTTTAATTTTACTTTTGTAAACAATATCAGTTGTTTTCTATGAAATAACAAGTTCACTTAGATCATTTTAATTTGAGAAAATGCCTGCCAAGTGCCTAAGTCTAAAAAACTATAGTTTGCAGGTTGCTCTTTCAAGTAAAAATGGTGCTACATGAAAAAAGTAGCTACATCAGCTCACAACTCAAGCTACAGCATGAGTATTTTTCCTCTAGACTACTATTATACTTTATTCAATATGTAGCAAGAATAGTTCATATATACTTCCTATGAGTAACTCAGAATATTAAGAGGACAGGAACTCAAGAGTTGAGATTTAATAAAATTAGTGCTTACTGCACTAGCAACAGATATTCTTAGGTGAGAATAGTTTTTTCTTAAATTCTATGTATGGTACGAAAGAACTCAATGACAACTTGTGTAGTTTGATGCCACTACCTTCAATCATTCTAAGATATAAGCAAATTTATCCATTATTGCTTTTATATTAGCACTGCAAATAGAAAAATAGCACATCACAGAGAAAAAGGCAAATAACATCTTGTAATTATCATGAAAATAGTCTGACCCCATCATTCTGTAGGACACTGACTGAGAACCACTAGCTTAGATAATTCAAGAAATGTGGACTCTTCAGAGAACATGGAATGTTTTATTGTGCTACTTAAAAAAAGGAAATTCATAGTGACTAGCCTCATACTTTCCTTGTAACCATAAGGCCATCAGTGAAAATTCAAGAGCATTCTTAAATAACTACATGTAAATGTGTGTATGGGGGGAAATGGAATCTTTGCAAAAGCCTCTAAAAGTTGTTAAATTTGGTCAGGTTCTTAAGCCCAACAATGAAAAGGAAACAGAAATACTTTACATAGCAAAGAGTTCAGATATTTTCTAATGATATGCATTGTATATTACTAGAAATTTATTACCTTGGCTCTAGAGGAATTGACATTTTCCATATTTTCAATGCTGCAGATACAATTCTGTGAGACTTTCCGGCAAGCCACTCTAATATAATCCCAGAAGCTTCGAGGACTTTCATAACCAAACCAGGTTATTTGACCTTCAGGAGACAAATTGTAATGCAAAATAAAAGTAAAAGAAAAGCAAGACTAGAAAATTCAAAATTCAAGAACAATGTAATTATGGGATGGGGGGAAAATGGCAACCAACAGTTCTAGCAGAAAGGGAGTACCTGGTATGGTGCTGTAAAATAATCATTGGACTGCTAAGCAAAAGGCTGACAGTTCAAACTTACCAGTCATTCCTTGGAAACTCTATCCAGGGTCACTATGAATCAGAGCCAACTCTATGATATTTTAACAACAACGACAAGTAGACAGGGAACCTGTTGTGTCAAAAGGCCTTAAATCTAGTCTTATTTTGACTTTTGTTGTACTTTAAGCAATTTATTTCACAGAGCTATTATAGTTTTCTAAACAATAAAATTTAAAAAATGAAATAAAAAGGGGGGGCTAGACTCTAAAATATATTTTGCACTTTAATATCCTATTATTCTAATATAGTTTCTAAGATCACACAGAAAACTTCCTTTTGGCTTTAAATAATATTAATTTAAATGTCATCAGGGAATGCTGGTATGGTGCTATAGGATAAGCACTGGATTTCTAATCGCAAGGTGTGGTGGAAAAGAACTCAATGACAACTTGCATAGTTTGATGCCACTACCTTCAATCATTCTAAGATACAGGCAAATTTATTCATTATTGCTTTTAAATTAGCACTGCAAACAGCAAAACAGCACATCACAAAATAGCATATCACAGGGAAATGAGAACCACCTTAAAACTTTCAAACCTACCAGTTACTCCTTACAAACCCTATATAGGGTCTCTAGGAGTTGGAATGGACTCTACCACACTTAACAACAATAGCAGTTGCACTTCACATAGCAAAACAGAAAAAAATAACACAACTCTGGTTTTCCTCTTCACTGGGATACTTCAAAGAAATGAAGCAATGTGTGATCTAGCTTATAAGTAAATATAAATAATTATAATTCTACATTTACTGATCATTTATCTTCTTTTATTCCACATTTACCTTCTATCCAACCATTCTAGTCTATCAGGCATAAAGCTCTCTTCTGTCATTCATGTGTTCCTGTCTAATCACCAACCTATGAAAAATTCTTCAAGCATTTACTAGTCTAATTTTCAGATTTGGGTAACTATTTTATCTGTTCATGACCAAATGTTCTATTGTTTGCATCTTTTTTTCTTATTAATTTTTCTAGGCAGGACCCTACATGAGAATCACTTTTTACTCATTCTATACTTTGAATCATTTTGTACTTTAGCAGGGAAATGAGAACATTCTTCAGTTTTCTGGAATGACTACTCTTACTTGGAGAAATTGTTTAATCTTAATATAGAAAGACTGTCATTTTATATTTTCAAATATGGACTTTTTCATTTTGAATTATTTATTTATTTAAAATCTTCCTTCCCCAGACATAACATCTCCAACAACATCAAAACCTGTTCTTGACAGTAATCATTATTTCAGAAACAATGTTTAGTAGAATATTTGACTGCTTTCTAGCATGGCAGTCCATTAGAATAACTGGGATGCTTTTTAAAAAATACTCATGCCTAGGTTCTAGTACATATTAAACAAATAAAAACTTCTAAGGGCCTAGACATAAATAGTTTTTAAAAGGTTCCTCCTGTTGTTTCTGATTTATTTATGGTTAATCAACCAGTAGGAACTCTACATATAATGGTTGTGATTGCTAAGTACTGTTGCTTTGCTTCCGAATCATAGTGACCCTGTACTGGTTTTCCAAAAAGTAGCTCATGGGTTTGAACAGTCAACCTTGTGATTACCAGTCCAGTGCTTATTCTACAGTACCATAGCAGTAGGCAACTCCTATTCACCATTCAGAATAGTTTAAAGGCCATGTACTCTATTAAGTCATCCCTGAACCTCACAGTGGGTTACTTCCTTCCTATAGGCTGCCATTGTGCTCTGTTTACTTTATCCCTATGAAAGCACTTACTAGATATTATTATAATTATTATCTGTTTACTTAACTGTCTCACATACTCCATAGTAAGATAAATGAGGCAAGGATTGTATCTTGTCTTTAAATCAATCCCCAGCACGTGACATGGTGTCTGACTCATTGCAGGTATTCCATAAATATTTTTCCTGAACAAATGAATTGGTAAATTGAGACAAAGCAGATCATCTTAATTGCAATATATATAAAAACTTGAAGTTTGCCTATAAACTCAATCAGATCATTTTAAAATAACAACTGCAATGGTAATCTGGTATTAAGATGCCTATATTCTAGGTTACAAATACCAAGAATGAGTCAATTTTTTTTTTCACATTATTCACTTAGAAATTATTTGAAATTATTTCCCAAATCCAGTCTTTGCCTATATCAATCATTCTAAATTCACTTACCCAAAGCATTTTAAATCTCAATGAATTTTCCTTGCTTTCTATTATTTGTGATTCCTCTACAATTTCACAATGGATACTATAGCTGCAAGCCCACTCTCAACAAACAACACGTGTATCTGAGAGAACTAAACACGTACAGGCATCTTAAAGAAAGAGAGCATCATGACGTTTCTGTAGAGATTTTAAATTTCTCCCTATTTGGGAACCTGACAAGCAGCCAAGAAGAAAGGTAAGGCATAGACTACTCATGACCAGCGATGTCTTTGTGAGGAAACAGACCGGGTCCTGGCACTTCTGAATAGGCATGCTTTTCTAAAATACTATTTTAAAACTTCTCATAAGTTTCACATGCTTGAGGAAAATAATTTCTTATACGTTTAAATGACTGCTACAGGAAAATACAACCCTGTTTTAGAGGCGAAGAAAATGTATTTTTAAAAAACGTTAAATCCAGACTTAGTTCAAACAAAGAATCAATGGGCACAAAATTCTAGTGACCCATGCTATTGATAAATTGTGGTATCTACAAGATTCCCAAATTACAAACTGAGTTATCTGACAAATTAATAAAAAGGTGCTATCATCATGGCTTGCAAGACTTTTAATAAACCAGTAATATCTTCACAATACATTTATCTGCGTGGCATACTAGATGTGAGGATGACTTGATTCCTTCTGTTTTATTATCTCTTATTTGTGCATCATTCTCAAAGAAAAGTTCTTAATTTAAGAAATTGAACTTTTCAGGTTCAGAAGATACTACACTTTGTGCCCTCAAGTCGGTTTCGACTCATAGTGACCCTGTTTAGGGATTCCGAGGAGTGGCTGGTAAATTTGAACTGCCGACCCTGTGGTTCAAACTGAACTTAGGGTCCAGTTTTTCCCCACAGTGCCACACCAAGACTTCCTAAAGACCCACAGTCATTCTAAAAATACTCTTCTAAATTCTTTAAGTTAGATAGCTATTCACATCTTTCAAAATGTCTGAGTTTTCCTAATGGCTAGAATAAACTCTTTTAAGAAGAGGAACTAGGTTTTCAAAGTGATTTTTTACTAAGTAGTGGCTAAGAAACAACTATCAGAATATAATATAAAATATAAATGGATCTTTTAGGTAACTTCCTCTCTCAACTCTTTGGGATAGTGCTTAAAGATGTATATGGTGGTGATATGCCATGGAGTAGGTTCCAACTCATTCTGATCCTGTAGTAAATGAAAAACTAGCCTTACAAACTGAAGTTCTATTAGTGTTGCATTACCTACTACCAATATCAAAGTTTATTACCTTCAAGTTGCTATTTATCTGGACAAGTAGCAAACGACAGGATGGTCCCCATAAACTTAAATAAACTGCTTTTATACCACTGCAAAAGTTTTCAGATACTTAAATTGGTTATAAGTAGATTTGTTGTTGCTACTATAATATCTGGATACTTAACTTTTAGCTGTATATTTGGTGGCAGCAGTTCTAAATTTCCTTAAACTAATTTATGAAAGCCAGTTTGGTACTTTCTACTATCTTTTAACTAAACAGAACAATTTCTTATTTCTATAACAGGTCAAAATCTTTTTATTTTTTTTAATTTTTTTAAGGACTTACTCATTGAAGTTTAATTTATTAAACAATCCAATTTTGAAGGCAAAGTTATGACCTTGAGTAATTGTATGAAATTTCACATTAACGTCTTTAAAGAAAGAGAAACACTTAACATACTTACAGAATAACTTAAATACACTTTAAACTAAATCTGAAGATATCAATGTCTAGAATAGATACTGACCTATACTCAGTACAACTATATCAAGTAAATTACTTGGCAAGTATGAATAATAGTTATATCATGTGTAAAATAAAATAATTATTTTTTATTACTGATAATTAATGTCCTATTTTACTGGTAAAGAATTTACACAAATATAAACATCTAAAACATGCACCTATTCCATAAAAATTAGTCAATTTTCAGTCTTGCAAAAAAGATTAAGGTGACTAGATTAATAAAAATTATGAAAATTAAATTTGACCTAATAGACTTTTGATCCCTTAAGTAATTGAATTATCTTTCCAACAAGAGTACAAAGTTTATTTCTCCAACAGAAGTATTAATAGAAGTCTTAATGTACTAGAATTAGAGTATTGAAGGCTGAAGTCTATACAGAAATCTATGCACAAATGTTTAGTCCTGAGGAAATAAAGTACAATTTGTTTCAATAATGATAAAATATAAGTAGCAAAGATAAAATAAAAACAACTGTTAAAAATGATTACTTATGAGAATTAGAATTGAAGAAACTAAGAATTTTATACTTTACTTTCTATCCTATGTCCTTTTGTAATTAAAAAAAAAAAGTGACAATGTAGTTATTTTCTAACAAAAAATAAAATAAAGGTTAGAACATAAAGTTTTAAGAACAGAGACCTAGTAGTATTTTGCATATAGCAGGAACTCAATACAATTGTTTTGAATAGATGAATAAATACAGGCACACTGCCTAGAAGAAATCTAAGGAATATATTCCTACTAATGGTTCTGAGATGGTGCTGTGGGTTAATGCGCTGGACTGCAGGTTCATTTGAACCGCAAGGTCGGCAGTTCAAGCTCACCAGCCACTCTTCAGAAACCCTAGACAGAGTCACCACGGGTCAGAACCGACTTGACTGCACTCGACAACAACAATGGTTTAAGAAAGTTAAAGCATATTTAATGCTGATAATTCCCATTTCTGTTTTACTGAGTGACTTTGATAAATTCACACGGCTTCCCTAAGTCCAGTTTGAATGTAAGATAGTTATTACTATGAAACATTTAGAGAATCGAGGCTATTCCAATAAATCTTGTATCACTGGATTCTGGCAAAATGTAAATAACATAGCTATGCATGATTAATACAAAATTAATTAAAGCCTTGTAACAGTAGATATATGAAGGCAACACATGGGAAAGAAAGGAGAATAAACAGTTTATTATATTATGTGAGTTTACAACATGGTTTTAATTTTTAATTAGCATTAGTATACTTGCCCTCTAGATTAAAAACAAACCAAACTAAAAGTTTTGCAAAACCCATGCAATGTACTAAAAAAGATCACTTAACTGATACAGCCCTCCCCAGTAAGTCAATTCCATGCTCCCGCGCAGCTCAGTGGCGGGAGGCAACACCAGCATAGAGTACCTTGAAGAGGTATTTGGAGATGAGCCAGCCATCTGCAACTTTGGGAAATCTCTTTGAAAAAATAAACAACAACAAAACACACAGATATTTAAGAAGCCTGCAACCAAGTTTAAAATTCCAAATTGAGTAATCCAAATCAGGTGGCTATGTATAATCTAGAAGCCGTAAACACTACTTTTACGTAATAGATACGATGAACTCAATAAAGATGAAGATGATCTACACTGAGCAAATGAATCATGCTCCTCCTAAGTCTGTTCTACTGGAGAGGCTAAGGTGTCTAGATCACAGAAATCAGCGAGCTTCAACTGTTCCCGGCTTTCACCAACATCCTTCTTCCCTGAATGTAATAAAACTGATGATGATGACATAAAAGTTAAAAGGATCAAAAGCTAGATGGGATTTTGGGATTTGCTAGCTTTACACCTTAGAATTTACAAAGCTGACGAGGAAATTAACTCATTTTTGAATTATATTGCCAGAGGTTTTTAAATTTTAAAATACTCAGATTTACTGCTAACTTTTCTAAAATTATAAACAAATCTATTTTGAAACAATATATTCTTTTTGCTTAAAAAGGATTATCATTTATATACTTTTTTACTTAATGATGAGAACAGCTCTCAGACTGCAAGTAAAATACTGTTCAGTTTAACCAAAACGGACTAAAATGTCTACTCTATGAAAAATATGTTTTTAATTGCTAACATTTCCAGTTACTTTTTAACAATTGCCATCTGAGAAAGTACTAAAAATATATGCTATATTGTTTGGTAATTGCTAGTATAATTAAGTAGGAAAACTCTAAGGTAAAATTTCTGAAGTCATATTCCTAACAAATGAGTGACATTTCCTCCCGTCAAAAGCAAACACTGAAACCTCCAATGGAACATGGTCCCCCCCCACGTCTCCAAAAACAACAAAGGAAAAAGCCTCCAGGAGTCAGTAACGTTGTGTGAAAATGAACAGGAGGAGTTATATACTTGTACAGTTGTACAATTGGTAACATCTGTGTCTCTACTAGTCACTCTATCCTTCTATACCATTTAACTGTTTTGAACAAGCATTAAATTTAGAAACACATATTCAAAAGGATCTATCCTAGCTGAAGTCCATATTACAACATAATGTACAGCTGCACTACCCAAAACTACAACAAACAAAATGAAAATTTCTCAACATTGAACTGCTAGCAGGAATTGAATGTTTATCATGCAAAATGGAAGAACATTAATTCTTAATACTTAAACTACTATCTTCTGTGTTGAAAACAATGTTCTTTATCTAATCCATGTCCTTTAAATAAAACTTAGCAAAGCTTTATTCACAGAAATCATATTTCAGGATAAATTATTTCAAAAAAATATATACCAAATAAGACACAACATAACCAGATATATGCCATAACAATCCCTTACACAGAATAAAAAACAATGAATTTACTATAAAAGATTCATAGAGTGGAAAACAACGGATTGAGTGTAAGTCTATGTACTGGCTTATAGTCTGATAGTTGATCTTGGCTATGAAACACTATGGAAAATAAAAACATTTTCATTTATTTGTAGGCATTAATTGCTTTAATCATAATTTAGTATCTTCCTTTACACTTTAGACCACTAATAATCAGAAAAGCCCTGGTGACAATGTAGGATAAGTAGTGGATGGTTAACCACAAGGTTGGCGGTTCAAACCCACCAGCCACTCTGAGTCAAAGATAAGATGTCCTTTTCCCATAAAGATTTATAGCGGGTTGCTATGAGTCAGATTCAACTCAGTGGCAGCTGAGTTTGGGTTTGTTTTTTTTAAGTCTTCTGATAATTCACTAGACTTCAAATTGCCTGTAGTTAAATTTCAACAACTTTCATCTTACAGATGGAAAACTGAGGCCCAGGGAATGCCTGCCTAAGCCCAACATAACTCTCTCCTGAAGACTCACAAATATCTAGTCTTTTGGCTGTGAACAGGATCTGACAGATGGAGGGGTCCATTAATTGGTTTTCCTGTCTATTGGTTAAGAGTTCTCACTGACACCTCAAAAGTAAGAAAGAAGAGAAATGAGAATGGGGCAGTCTAAGGTGAATATTGCCAGTTTATAAGCTAAATCTTTGATATAGTTGGTCCCCTACTTGCCAGTTGGTGTTGTTAAGTGCTTTCAAGTAGGCTCTGACTCATAGTGCCCTGTATAGGGTTTTAGAAGTGGCTGATGGGTATGAACTGCCAGTTAGTGCAGTCCAGTGTTTATCCTATAGCATCACGAAGGACTCCCCACCTGTTCCAACCCATTTGGTGGGTGCACTTACCCCACCAAACCCCAAATTGCTCACATTATTTCAAAGTGGTCCAAAGAGTATGTATTTGTAGAAAAAGTTATTATCTGTAATCAAAAGCAAACCTTTGCTGTAAAAATATATAAAGAGAAAGAGAAAAATTATCATATAAATAGCTTAGAAAAGCATACAAGAAAAGATCAAATAAACCAGTATAAGGCAATGTTTTGTTCAAGAACAAAATTCAATCAAACGTACCATTATAATCACTTACTATATATTAGAATAGGAATTATTAGTTTTTTTATTTTAGCCAAAGGAAGAAACCCCCGAGATGTAATAACAGAATGTTTAATTATACCAAAGGTAGAGCATTTCTGACCAAAACACATATGCAATTTTAAAAAAATAAATTATTGAAAATAAATGCAACCCTTATCACTGTCTTATCACTATGTCAAAACTGAACCTCATACAGAAAAGATTAATGGCCAGATTACTGACAGAAAGTTTTACTGCTATGGTAATAAGATAGAAGAAAACTCTAACTCTTATTCTGTCATATTTCTCATGTTAGCCTTGTTTTCACTCTAGCTTTCTATAATTTCTATTTCTTTCATAGTTGTGCTACATTATCACAATTGATATAATTTAGTAAATGGTAACAATTACATTGAAGATTAAATATATTCACCCATGCTGTATTTATTATAAGGAGCTCTGGTAGCATAGTGGTTACGAATCGGGCTGCTAACCTCAAGCCTAGCAGTTTGAAACTACCAGCCATTCCACGGGAGAAAGATGAGGCTTTCTACTCCCGTAAAGATTGACAGCCTTGGAAACCCTGTACAGGGTCACAATGAGTCAGAACCGACTCCACGGCACATAACAACAACAACATATTTATAGCATATATTTTCCTAATAAAGTTACAAGTTTCATGCATTTATTTTTAAATAGGCCAAGATGGACTACTGAAAAGACCCCTAGATCAATTGATTTGTACACTTACAAAATTGATTATGAATTATCAAGTAGGAATTAAGACTTATCACAAGTTTTTGGTTGTGGCACTGTAAGAGAAGCTCTGGACTGCTAACTGCAAGGTTGGTAGTTCAAACCCACTAGCTGCTCCTCAGACACTCTATACAGGGTTGCTATGAATTGGAACCGACTTGACGGCACTTAACAACAATACCAGATACAGCATACTCTGTTTTGTCACAAATTGTATTACTATAAGTCCTTATCTGAAAATATGACTCTTCAGCCATACACTTACATATAAGAGAAAAATCATTCAATGAAACATTTATTGTTATAACATGCACTGTAATTAGGCTAGCAATGTAACAGAATTATCTTCTTTATTATGTGGTCATTTTTCTTTTTTTAACAGGTTCTAAAATTAAATTTTAAACTCATATATGACTTATCTTAAAATTCAAAATGTTTGCTTCAAAGTGCCATTTGTGGGTAGATAGAAACAAATGTAGTTTATTCATTAATTCAACAATTTAAAAAGCACTGCATATCTAAAACATGCAAATCTTTGGAAGCCTAAAAATCATATTACTTTAAAGGTAAGATATACAGAAAAAATTTAATAGTTTAACAAATTTAAATAGTGAAAACTATTAAAGGAGAGAAATTAAAGTAACAATTTGCATAAATGAAAATGTTTTAATTTATGGGTAATGAGCATAAAAGAACTATAGTGTTAAATAATATCAAATTATTAGTTCTGAAATTTAATTCAGTTTCCTATAAAACACCCACAAAACTATAAGGTTTATTTAATAGTTTAGAGTAAAAATAAAGTATATGTACAAGTATACAAATTAGGCACTCAAAATCCTAATTAATATATACCAGCTAACAGTTAATCACATTGTATATTAAAGAAAATTACACAGTAGGGTAGGAAGTTAACAATAGATTTTTACTATAGTTACTTGCAGTGATTTTATTTTTCGTAAGAAAAACAAAACGTAATACCACAAATTTACAAAAAATTCTGAAAAGGGAAGTTTATTAAAATAATGAAATTAGAAAGTTATAGGAACTAAAGCTGTCATAAAGCTCTCAAAAGTGAACAAATTGTAATCATTTTCCTTTTCTATAAAATTAAAATATTTAATCCTTTATAATTAGCATTATTTAAGTATTTAAAATGTTTAACGCTACTGTCTAATTTATACAGTGTTATTGTTGTTTTTATGTGCCATGGAGTCAGTTCCGACCCATAACGACCCTGTACAGGGTTTCCGAGGCTGCAAATCTTTACTGGAGCAGAAAGCCACATCTTTCTCCCGCGAACAGCTGGTAGTTTTGAACTGCTGACATTGAGGTTAGCAGCCCAATTCCTAGCATAGTGGTTATAAGTCGGGCTGCGAACCTCAAGGTCAACAGTTCGAAACTACCAGCTGTTCCGCGGGAGAAAGATGAGGCTTTCTGCTTCCGTAAAGATTTACAGCCTTGGAAACCCTGTACAGGGTCGCTATGGGTTGGAACTGACTCCACGGCACATAACCACCACCGCCACAATACTACCATTTATATAGTTGTTGTTGCTGTTGTCAAGTGCCGTTGAGTCGATTCCGACTCATATCAACTGTTAACCCCCAAAAAATAAATAAAAAAGCAACTTTCCATTACTGAAAATAAAATATGTTCTGGAAATTACAAAGAGATATTGTGACTTGTTCGGAACCAACTCAACAGCACTTAACAACAATACAGTTTTATTACTTTGAACATATTGTAAGAATGGATCAGTTC